CCCCAAAACCCCAAAACCCCAAAACCCCTTTTGATTAAATTTTTGTAAATGATTCAAGTGAAATTGCGAAAGGGTTATATTAGTATATACATTTAACTTGTTAAAATTTAATCGAGGAATTAATGACATTGAATTTAGATGAGGTCGTTTTAAGACGACTAAAGTCTGAAATTGAGCTTGAAATCGTTAAGAGACTAGATTCAAAGCTTATAGAGTATAAGGATGCAATTTCAAATGAATATGTAATGCGAAATCAACAGAAAAACAGAGACTTAGAGGAAATAAAGAGCCAACTATTTTATGATATGGACCAAATTTCTAATTTTATGATGCTCTCTGAGCTTCATAAACAAGGTTATAGTACAGTTGAAGAATTTGTGCAAAGTCTCAATAGTGATACAATTACAATGTGCAAATCGTATGTGAATGAGTAGCTAGATGCTCAGCATAACATGACTGTGAATAAGTTCGACACATTTTCAAAAGAACAGCAAATTATCAAGTCCCAGGTGGAGCTCCTGAAAGACTTGAGATTCTAGATGTCTACCATGAATTAGAAATTAGAGGAAAAAGCATCGTTTTAAAATTTGCGCAACATAGAATTCTAGCTGTCAGAATATGTGAAAATCTATACATTAACAGCGATTGAGGAGGATATTCGGTAAAAGGTGGATAGCAAGGAGTTTTATAGACTGAAGGAGGAGTTCTAGGATGCAAACAGTTAGATTTAGCATATATTAAGAATCAATAAAACATATGAGGAGACTCAGAATCAGTTGGACACAAGTCTAAAAGACTCATATGTATCCATAGAAAAGAAGCTTGCGTCATTAGAAATAGACATGAAAAGGAATGATTACGATTTGTAAGCCAAAACCACATCCATAAGAGATTCACTAATTAACTACAAGAAAGAGGTAGAGTAGAGATTTAACGAAGAACGATTCTAAATAATGCAATGCGTAAAAATAACTGAATTTGAAAGACTTAAGGATTCACTAGAAAGATATGCTCCTCTTGCCGAGGTGTATTAACTTAGAGCTGAATCAATACCAGTTATTAAGAAATTTAGGTTAGAAGTCGAGTAATTCAAAGATACTTACGAATAGGTCAGAGAAATGATTAGGAGATTTGATGAAATCATAAGTGAAAAAGCATCTAAATCATCTCTTCTAGAATTAGAATTCGATATAGGACAAAATTATGTCAAGAAAAAATACTGGGATAAATTACAAGAGTAAATTTAAGCATCCGTTAATCAATAGCAGGATATGGTAAAATTGATGCAAAATAATGTTTCAAGTTTCGAAGGTCTAATGGAGGATAAGATTTAGCACTAAGTCAAGAGATTTATTTAAAAGGCCATGATTGATTATGAAAGAGTTTTAAATGCGTTTCAAAAGTTTTTTGACCACGAGGAACTTTAGAAGGTTTTAGATGGCAAGGCAAATCTGAGCCTAATACAAAATCTAGATGAGATAAAGGCAAGTAAAGCTTAGGTCTCTAACTGCTATAAAATACTTGAGCAAATGCATGATAGAATAAGACAGATATCCATATTGATGGTGGAGACAGCTAAGACTATCCAGCCATAAAAAAATTCAAATAACTTTGAAAAGACAGAATCTCTCAACAGCAAAATAGCCAGAAGGGACTACTTGCTGAGGCTTTCGAAACTGACTGCTTAATGGATTGAGGAACTTGAATTCTTCCCTTTGCCACCTGATGCTGAGCCTTATCAGTTCAAACAGAGAGTCAAAAGTAGTTAAGTAAGTGCGAGACGCAACTTAAGTGATGGAATAAATGACTAGCAATAAAGCAGCATGTCTTAAATAGAGAAGATCTACAAGAAAATGAATGAAAACTCCAAATCTGATTTGCCAGTTAACTTGTAAATTTGGAAGAGACAATTCGCACTTAGATCCCAAAATGGTAGATCAAGATTGAATAGAAAGCAAATTCTCCAGTAGGATGGCTCTGATCAATTCAGCAATACTCAATCCTTTGCTCAAAACATAACAACTAACCTAACATAGAACCAGCATTAGATTAACATATTTGGTCACAAAAAAAGCTTATAAGACCACAAAAATAAGAGCAATTTCTCTTTGACTTTAAGTTTAAATCACTCTCCAACTAATGACGATGAAAATAGAGTAAAGCATAACAAGACACAAAATATGCCAAGTTCAGGAAACAACGGAAAGAAATAGTCAGGTCCAAAGAATGTTCATCATATTGTGATTGCAGATAATAACTTCAATATTAACAATGTCACAAGTGCCACTCCTACAAAGAATAGCTACAGACATGGAAGTTCAAATCCTCAGCTTGAAAAAGAAATAACTCAGGTATCTAAGAGGATAGGTAGCATGAATGATAAGTAGTTAAGAGATATTATTAAGATAAATGAGTCTGATCAAAAACTCTTCTCAAAGAGAAAAAATGATTTGGACTTTAAGAAACTTATGAGTCAGATGGGGTAGGAAAAGTCCTATAAAATGAGAAACAATACAAATAGTTAGAACTCATCCAAGAGTAAAATACAGCTCTCATAGCTAGATCAAATCAAGTGAATCTATAATTATATTATTTCAATAATTTCTTAATTTCATAACTAATTTTTTCATGTCGGGGTTTTGGGGTTTTGGGGTTTTGGGG